AGAATAGAAGAAAAAAATGGAAAGAAAGCTTTTATAAATAAGAAGGGGAAGGGGGGGTTGAAGGAAGAGAAGGAGAACGGGGGAAAATGAAGCAAGATAATATGTACAGGTGTAAATTCTCTACGATGAATGTTATCATTATGTATCTCTAAAATGAACCCCCCAAAATACCTGGGGCTGGTTATTTTATAGAGGAAAGAGTTCTATTTAGCTCCTACAAGCAATGGAGTAGATTGATTTCTATCTCTCCAAAAAGATCCCTTGACTGATGGGTCAGGAAGGTATTGAAAGGAAGGAAACCCATGAGGAAGGAGCCTGCTGTTTCCCCCGTAAAAGATGGCACCAGTGGGGGCAGCCGCAGAGGTATAGCCTGAGTGTAATCCCTCCAGCAGGTCAGAGCCCACAGGAGGCTCCAGAGTACAAAGCTCTCCAGAACCCAGAGTCGACCGCTTATCAGTTATCCGCAGAGCACCCGCCCAGCACAAGGACGAAGTGTCTGCAATGAGATTTAGAGGCCCACTACAGTGCCTGCCTCACTGAGGAGACCAAACATATCCACGTGAGGAATTAAACTCTCAGATGCCAGGCCTCAGCCAGGATGAGTGTGGGCACTAGCGTCACAGGAAGCAGGGACAAGTTTGTCGGCACTCCAGATGCCTGGCTTTGGGACCCCAGGCAAAACCGTGAACTGCACTTTCCCTTCCCATGCCAGGAAGACAAGCCGACCCCGTCTCCCACACTGACACTCTACCCAGACCCCTTTGGCAGCATTGGCTTCCCCCACACACATCTGGTTTTTATTTATGGTTCTGGGGATTAGAACCGGGACCTCATGAACGCCAGGCGAGCACGTCACCACTGAGCTACCCACAGCCCCATATCTGTTTTCTGAAGAAGTGCTGAAACCAAAATGGATGCTCAGCTTTTGGTCTGTGTAAGAGATATTTACAGCCTGCTTCTACCTGATGACCTTGGCCAGCAACCCTCTGCGGCTGGTGAATAGAAGGTCACACATGTCACAGGCTCCAGACTAAGCCAGAGCTATATATGTTCCAAGAAGGAAAACATCTCAAGACCTCCTGGAGAGGAGAGGCCTGGGGCTGACCTTGGACAGTGTTTAGAGGCTGGCTTTGAGGATGGAGGGCATCTGACACATGAGAAAAGATGTGGAGCGTTCAGAACACAGTACTGGCTCAATCTGGATGGAGTGAAAGGCAGAGTCTTATAAGAGGACACAGAATGGAGCTGTGACACAGAAGCAAATCACAAATACAATCTGAGTGTTTGAGATATAGGTGATGAGAGTCATTTAACTGTTAACGGAGGTGTAGCTTTACTTTAAGGTCTTTGAAGACCTTTCTCTCTGGTGTTCAGCAATTTCTTTTTCTTGGTTTTTTTTTTTTTCTTTCTTCTTTTTATTCTTTTGAGACAGGGTCTCACTATACAGTTCAGGCTGGCCTTGAACTCACTATGTAGCCCAGGCTGGCCTCAAACTTATGCTGATCCTCCTGCCTCAGCCTCCTGAGTGCTGGGATACAGGCATGTGTCACCACGCCCGGCCAGCAATTTCATTATATTGTGTTGAGGTGCAGATTTCTTTCTAACATATCTAGTATACATTGTGTTTTCCTAATGAGATAGGAAACTAGGGCATGGCAAAACTGGCTGGGAAAGTAGGCATGACCTGTTAATTACAAAGACCCTGGAACATGTGTGCAGAATAGTTCCCAAAACCCCACATATGGGCTTCTCCTGAAAAACTTGAGCAAGTTCTCTACAGGATGGCCTAGACCTGACATCAGCTTGAGGCGTGGGATCCCAGCACCACCTCTCGGGACTCATAGATAGAAGTTCTTGTAGATTTCCTTGAGATTTGGAGAGTATGAAAGGACACCGAGGCCAAGAAGAACCTCCTATCATAACCGCCGTACTCTCTCCAGGGTGATCTTTTTTTTTTTTTTTTCCTTTTTCCTTTTTTAACTTGGCCCAAGCTCACCCTGCAAGGCCAGTTTCTCCCCCACTCTTCTTCACTTTTACTTTCTGAAATACACTTTGTCCCTGCTTCTTGCTCGTTTTGTTTAGCTCTTTGTTCACAACCAGAAATACTTGGAATCCAACTCCAAAGGGAGAGGTGAGCAACCCATGTTTAGTTGGCGAGCCACTTTCAGAAAGAAGCAGGCTACCTGGTAACACTGTCGTTACGGCTGAACTGCGTCTCCCCACCGATTCCTATGTTGCAGTTCAGTACCTCAGGAGGTGGCTGTGTTTGGAGACCGGGACGGGGTCTTTAATGGGGAAATGAAGTTAAATGACGTTAGCAGGGTGAGTCCTAATCCAATCTGACTGGTGTTTTTGTACAAAGGGCAGATTAGAACACATATACACAGAGGAAAGACTATCAAAGACATAAGGAGAAAAAACAGCTCTCTGCAAGCCAAGTAGATGGTTAGGAGAAACCAACTCTGTTGGCACCTTGATCTCACACTTCTAGCCTCTAGAATTGTAAAAAAATAATTAATGTTTTATTTTTTTGTTTTTTTGGTACTGGGGATCGAACTCGGGTCCTTGTGCTTATGGGGCAGGCACCAGAACCATTGAGCTAAATCCCCAGCCCTAGAATTGTAAAATAAATAAATAAATAAAGTTTAGTTTTTTAAATAACTTCCTCTGGGATACTTTGTTAGGAAGGTACTAGCAAATTAATATACCTATCTCTAAACATGTATGTCTTTCACACCTTGGAAAATCCCCAACACCTTTCTTCAGCTATACTGCCTTGTGGGAGCCGGGCCATGGCCCTCTAGGAGTTTGTCATGTAAAAGGAAACTTCTTCACCTCTACACTCAAGGCATTGATACAATCTGTAACATTCTAGGACTCTGCTTGTTAAACTTGTTGCTGCAATGGGAGAAACTCAAGGAGACAGCCAAAGATCTGATGTTCTTTGCAAAGAATCAGAAAATCTGATCTTTGCATAAAAGATACAAATAGTTGCTTGGTGCTTCCTGTTGATGTGAACCTATGAAAGGAGCTGTTTCTGAGAAATAAATCAGACTTCTCTTGGTCTCCACTCAGGCTCGAGTGTTCTTTCCTTTCTCAATCCTCACTCCCCGACACACGCATGTTCGTGTTGTGACGGCTGGACCACCACACTGCGTCTTATTCTTTTTGTTTTATTTTTTGACACAGTGCTCACTCTGCAGTTCAGGCTGGCCTTGGACTCACGATGTAGCCCAGGCTGGTCTTGAACTTGTGGCAATCTTCCTGCCTCAGCCTCCTAAGTGCTGGGATATGGGAGTGCGCCACCACACACAGTTCTCTTTTCTCTTTTGCTGTTCCCTCCTGGTCTTCAATTTGATGTATATCAGATTTTAATATTCTTTCGCCCATGTTGCAGACCTTTCTCATATTTCCCTTCTTTCCCTCTGTGATGTTGGTGGGGTTATTTCCTTAGATCTTTCAGTTTACTCGCTTTCTCAATATTTTTGTTAAATGTGAGTTTAATCTATCTTTTATTTTGCTGTTTCTATGAGATAGAGTCTCGCTAGGCAGCCCAGACTGGCCTGAAACCTTCAGCAATCCTGCTCGGCCTCAGCCTCCTGAGTGCTGGGTAACTGCTACCATGCCTGGCTAGTCTTTTGGTTTTGTTTTGTTTTTGTACTGGGGATCTAACTCCAGACCTTGGGCTTGCAAGCCAGGTGGCAGCACCGCTGAGCTAAATCCCCTGCCCTCTATCTTTTAAAATTGCTCAAACAATTATATTTTTTGTTTTTACAGTTTCATTTCCTTTTCAAATCTAGTCTTTCATTTCTTGAGAACAATCAGATTGCTTACCAGAGAATGACAAACTAACAAGGAAAATTCTTATTACCCAGAATAAAACCCAGAAGAAAAAGAGTAGTCCAGGACTTTAAAATGTTCAGGGAAAATAAAGAATGAAAGTAAGATTTAAAATTAAAAATTTTAGCCAGGTATGGTGGCACATGCCTATAATCCCAGACACTCTGGAGGCTGAGGTAGAAGGATCACAGATTCAAGGCCAGCTGGGTGTTGTGGTGCGTGTCTGTAACCCCAGCACTCTAGAGGCTGAGGCAGGAGAATTGCATGCATTTGAGGTCAGCCTGAGTTACATGGGGGGGCGGTCGCAGAAAAAAAAAAAAAAGATAAGAAACCTCACCCCATCCCCCCAAAAAGCAAATCCAAGGTCAGCCTGGGTAACTTAGTGAAAGCCTGTATCAAAATATAAAATTTGTAGGCCGGGCATGGTGGTGCATGCCTGTAATCCCAGCCCTCCGGAGGCTGAGGCAGGAGGATCACTGTGAGTTTGAGACCAGCCTGGGCTACATAGTGAGTTCCAGGTCAATCTCAACTACATAGTGAGACCCTGTCTCAAAAAAAAAGAAAAACAAAAACAAAATATAAAATTTGTTTGTTTGAGACAGGGTCTCGCTATGTAGTTCAGGCTGGTTATGAACTCACTATGTAGCTCAGGTTGGCCTCAAACTTGCAGCAATCTTCCTGCCTTGGCTTCAAAGCATTTTTAAAGGCTTCTCATTGTAGCTCAGTGGTAGATCATTTTCACTAGAAATTGGTTGTAATCCCCTCCCCAAATACAAATAAATAAACCTGATTGCTCTTATGATCACTGACTAGTAATAAAAGGATATTAAAAGGGTTGGTGGAAAAGAAACTTTTATAATCGTTAGTCATGGTGGATTCAGGCAAGACTCATCACTAAAAACTAAACCCAGTAGCGGAAATAATGTTTGTTTTTTGTTTTTTGTTTTTTTTTTTTTTTTTGGTTTTTTTGAGACAGGGTCTCACTGTGTAGTTGAGACTGACCTGGAACTCACTATGTAGCCCAGGCTGGTCTTGAACTCACAGTGATCCTCCTGCCTCAGCCTCCCGAGTGCTGGGATTACGGGCGTGCACCACCATGCCCGGCCTCATTAGGGAAATAATGTGAGGAAAAGAGTATTTCAATGAATTTAAGAGATTACCTCGCTTCTTTTCCATTGTTCTCACTTCTCGCCACTGCCTGTAGAGAGGTCCTCGCCCTCTGAGCTCCTTGTTGCCATGCCTTGAAAAATGGAGAGAATAAAGGATTTCCTGCTCATAGCCAGGTGGAAGGACACCCAATCTGTAGAGATACAGAAGAACAAAGACAATGTGAAGTTTAAAGTTCAATGAACCATCAAGCTGCGGATTTAGCTCAGTGGTGCCACCGCCTGCCTCAGAAGCAGTACGTCCCGAGTTTGATCCCCAGTATTAAAAAAAAAAAAATTCGATCCACCTTGCTCATCACATGCAAAGAGAAGGCAGAGAAGTTGAAGCAGGCTTGTTAGTAAAGGAGCGGAAATGAACCAGATGGACTGATGTGAAGCAGATTAAAAAGCTTTAAAAGTCAAGAAAAAAATTACCTGGGCCGGGGATTTAGCTCAGTGGTGCCACTGTCTGCCTTGAAAGCGCAAGTCCCCAGTTCGATCCCTGGTACCAAAAAAGGAAAAAAAAATTACCTCACAGCTTACTTATCCATTCAGAGAATAAAAAGTATCTTTCTAAAGGAGAAATCTGGTAAACATAATTTTAGCCAAGTGATCAAGCTTAACATCACCAATGTAGGGACAGTTCAAGTCCAGGTAGCTCCTGATATAACATACTGGGGACACAACAGCCCCACACAGTAGTCCTAAGAAAAATATCTAACCTGAATCTAATTAGGAGGAAACAGCCAATCCAAATCCAGGGCCTGAATTTCATTCATTCATTCAGTACTGAGAGTGAACCCAGATCCTCACAAATACTAGATAAGCCTGCTACCACTGAGCTACATCCCCAGCCCGGAAGGCCTGAGCTTATAACAAGTGTCCATATAAAATGATAAATACAACTGTGATTGAATTTAGAGCCTTGCATATGCTAGGCAAATGCTTTATCTCTGAGATACATCCCCACCCCTTATTTTATTACTTTTGTTTTTTGAGACCAGGTTTTGCTATGCAGTTCAGGCTGGCCTTGATCTCAGGCTGGCCTCAAACTTGTAGTGATCCTCCTGCCTCAACCTCCCCAGTGCTGGGATGACAGGTGTGCACCACCACACCTGATTTTATTATTACTTTTAAGAGTGGCCAGGGTCAGCTGTCACCAAATACACAAATAACCTAAAAATGATGCTTCTGGAATCTCATGAACTCCTCAAGAAGAGCAATTAAGTCACCCTATGTATTCCACTCACAAGAGAAGCCCTCTTTAAAAATTGTTTTTTCAGTGTCAAGGATTAAATTAGTATTTTAAATAAGAAGAGAGAAGAACCACAAATTCAGCCTACTACAAGTTACCTTAAGAAGGAAAAGAATGAGAGAGCACATGTAGAGATAGGAATCCAGGTGTGGTGACACACTCATTTTTTAAGCAAAACATTGACTTATACATTTGTACATTTTAGATAATATTCATCATAATGATCATATTAATTATAGGGAATTTGTACCTGTACATGATATATCTTGCTTCTTCTTTTCCCATTTCCTTGTCTTCCCTTCAACTCTTCTTCCCCTATTTACAAAAGCTTTGTTTGCATTTTTTCCTTCTTTTTAAAAATGTTCCTTTCCTTCCTTTCTTCTTGCTGCCTCCCTTGTCTTCCTTTTCATTTGAAAATTTTCTTCCCATTTCCCAACATCCATTATACATACATTTCAGCCCACGTCTTTCCTGCCGGGTCAGCAGAAGGCTGGGGGCCCCTTTGGGACAGAGGTCCCCCTGCTGGCTAAAAAGCAGAAGGCTTCAGGACATCAAATACAGGAACTGCCACAGTAATAGTAATGTCATAGGCTATCATATCAGTTGCTGTCAGTTTTTAGTGTTGAGATGGAGCATGGCATGGACTCTAGATTTGTGGGGGTCCCTCTGGAGCAGTGACCATGGGCATACTTCTTAATCTCACTGAGCCTTGGTTTTCTCATCTTTTTTTTTTTTTTTTTTTGGTACCAGGGATCGAACTCGGGTCCTTGTGCTTGCGAGACAGGCGGTGGAACCACTGAGCTAAATCCCCGACCCCGGTTTTCTCATCTTGACCGTGGCTATAATAATGCCAGTGTCAATTGGCGCCCAGAGAGGGAGACAGACATTACCTGATTTAACGGAGAGAATGTGAGGAAATTGCTAAACACATGCCAGAGGAATGAAAAAGCAAAAAGGGTATTTGGAGTTTACAGATGCAATTGCAGAAAGCAGCTGCCGTTCCCTTGGAGGTGGGAAGAGGACGGGATTGTCAGGGCTGGTGCCATCATTGCCTGGTCCCAGAGCCTCCCCACTCTCAGGACTGACTCCCTGGGCTTCATGCATGCGTCCTCATCTGTCAGAGCGTCAGCCAGGACATCGGGTTGGCTTGGCTTTGTTTCTCTTTCATCCTGCCTTAAACTCAATTGGCTTCTTCAGCGGAGAGCAGCAACAACCTCCGAGAACATGTCCCGTGCACAGGTGCTCCACTGGCTGCCCCATTTGCTGATGCCCCAGTGGCCAAAACAAAGGTTTCCTGGCTGGCTGAGTCACTGTGCAGGGGGCCAGGGTGAGCACAGACACGGGAGGCATCATTCACCAGAGGTCACCAGTGGAACAATCTGTTACGAAAACCTAACAGCTGTGAGGTGAGGGCTCACTGGGGCCGCTGCTATCTCAGGAGCTTTGGGCAGAGGTCTCATGGAGCTGAGTCCCACCAGGTTGTGCTGGGACTGCAGAAAGAAGTAAGAAATTGGAACCACCTGTCGCCGCAGTAGATCGGCAAGCAAACAAAAAGGAACAAGGCCTTACTTTTCTCTTCTGCCTCCCAAAACCCTCTAGTGGCCCCTTAGTATCAGATCTTACTAGGAAGCCTGCTGACAAAGGAGAGATAGAGCTTGCAGACTGGTGTTTGCGTATTTCTTAGTCCAGATGAAACGTCAATAATGGACAATTACTGGGGATGGTACCTCAGGAGGCTGAGGCAGGAGGATTACCAAAAGTCCAAGGCCAGACTGGGCTACATAGTGAGTTCAAGGGCAGCCTGAACTACATAGTGAGACCCTGTCTCAACATCCCCACCATGGGCATTGTTTTTGTTATTAAAAAGGTAAGTCATGGGGCTGGGGATTTAGCTCAGTGGTTCTGCCACCTGCCTTGCAAGTGCAAGGTCCCCAGTTCAATCCATGGTACAAAACACAATCAAACAAAAAAAAAAAGTTAAGTCATGTAATCTTTGTTAAGCATGATCTTTTTTTTTTTTTTTGTACCAGGGATCAAATTTAGAATCTTGGGCTTTAGAGTCAGGTGCACACCACTGAGCTAAATCCCTGGCACTTAAGCATGATCTTAATGAGCTATCACTATGCTGGTTACCACGCAGTGGAATAAAATTTGGAGATAGCTGAGGGGTGTGTGTTTATGTGTGTCTGTGGTACTGGATCAAGCTCAGGGGTGCTCTACCACTGAGCTATGTCCCCAATCTTTTTTTTTTTATTTTGAAACAGAGTCTCACTAAACTTCCTAGGCTAGGCTCAAACTTGTGACCTGCAAGTAGCTGGAATTACAGGGGTGTACCACTACACCTGCCTGAGATGTTTTTCTAACCCAATTCAATCAGCTCTCTATCCATGGGTTCCTCATGCAGCTAAGGGGCCCTTACCAAAGAGATGGTCCACCATCTTGGACTTCCAGCCATTACAACTGTTGAGGAAGGCATTAATGATACAGTATATTTGCTGGGCTGGGGATTTAGCCCAGTGGTTCCATCGCCTGTCTTGCAAGCACAAGGACCTGAGTTCAATCCCCAGTACCAAAAAAACAAAAATAAAATAATAATAATACAGTATATTTGGGAGGCATGCCATAGATTTTTTTTTTTTTTTTTTGAGACAGGGTCTCACTATGTAGTTGAGACTGACCTGGAACTCACTACGTAGCCCAGGCTGGGCTCCAACTCACAGCAATCCTCCTGCCTCAGCCTCCCGAGTGCTGGGATTACAGGCATGAGCCACCACACCCAGCCATACCATAGATTTAGATGTAAATTGCTACTATAACATTTCAGGGTATTTGAAGCCATTATATTATTAAAATTCACTAATTTAATGGCAATAAATGATGTAACCTGAATAAAGGCTCACCAAAGATGCCTATGTCCTAACACCCAGAACATGTGGTGTTTTCATTATAAAAAAGAGATTTTGTTACAGCAGCATCCAAAAAAATTGAAATACCTAAGAATCAACCTAACCAAAAAAATCAAAAACCTCTACTCTGAAAAGTACAGCACTCTGAAAAAAGAGATCGAAGAGGATATCAGAAAATGGAAAGACATCCCTTGTTCCTGGATAGGAAGAACCAATATAGTGAAAATGGCCATGCTTCCAAAACTGCTATACAGAGTCAGTGCAATCACTATTGAAATCCCAACAGTATACTTCACAGAACTAGAGAAAATAATCCAAAAATTCATTTGGAAACAGAAAAGGCCTAGAATAGCAAAAGCCATTCTAAGCAACAGAGACATAGCAGTGGGTATCACAATCCCCAACTTGAATCTATACTACAAAGCCACTGTGATAAAAATAGCATGGTACTGGCAAAGAAACAGACCTGAGGATCAGTGGAAGAGATCAGAAGATGCAGAAACATCTCCTGACATACTCAGCTACCTCATCATTGACAAAGGAGCCCACCATCCTCACTGGAGGAAAGACAGACTGTTTAATAAATGGTTTGTGAAAAATTGGGTTTCAACTTGCCAAAGATTAAAACTACACCCCTATCTCTCACCATGCACTAAACTAAAATCAAAATGGATCAAAGATCTAAATATTAAAACAGAAACATGGGCCAGGGATGTAGCTCAGTGGCTCCACTGCCTGCCTCCCAAGCACAGGGACCTGAATTTGATTCCCGGTACACAAAAAATAAAAAATAAAAAAAGAACAGAAACACTAAACTGGCTGGAAGAGAGGTTAGGTGGAAACCGTGAAGACACTGGCATAGGAAAAGACTTTATGAACAAAACCTTGGTCACACCTGAACTAGCACAAACAATTAACAACTGGGATCTCATCTTCTTCTTCTTCTTCTTTTTTTTTTTTTTTTTTGAGACAGGATCTCACTATGTATTTGAGACTGACCTGGAACTCATTATGTAGCCCACGCTGGTCTCGAACTCACAGCAATCCTCCTGCCTCAGCCTAACGAGTGCTGGGATTACAGGCATGTGCCACCACGCCCAGCTTTGGGACCTCATCTTATTAAAAAGCTTTTGCACAGCAAGAGAAACCAGAGTTGAAAAGACAACCCACAATCTGAGAAAAAAAATTTTACCAGCTGTCCCTCAGACAAAGGTCTACTATCTAGAATATATAAAGAACTTTAAAAAAATGAGACCTCCCAAATGTAAAAACCCAATCTAAAAATGGGCATCTGAAATGAACAGACATTTCTCAGACAAAGTAAATAGCAAATAAACGTATGAAAAAATGTTCAACATCACTGGTCATCCGAAAGATGCAAATGAAAACAATCCCACCAAGCTTGGTGGTGCACGCCTGTAATCCTAGCACTCGGGAGGTTGAGGCAGGAGAATCACTGTGAGTTTGAGAGCAGCCTGGGCTACACAGTGAGTTCCAGAAAAAAAAAGAAAGAAAGAAAGAAAGAAAACAATCCCGTTGAGGGCTGGGGATTTAGCTCAGTGGTTCTGCTGCTTGCCTGGAAAGTACAAGGTCCTGAGTTCGATCCATGGTACTACAAAAAAAAAAAAAAAAAAAAAAAAAAAAAAGAAGAAATCAACCAACAACAAATGCTGCGGGGTGGGGACACCCCTCTCCACTGTTGGTGGTAGTGAAGACTGGTGCAACCACTGAGGAAATCAGTTTGCAGATACCTCAAACACTAGGAATAGAGGTCCCATTTGACCCAGCTATATCCCTGCTGGATATCTTCCCAAAAGAACTAAAAGAATCTGGCCAGGTGTGGTGGCACATGCCTGTAATCCCAGCACTTGGGAGACTGAGCTAGGAGGGTTGCTGCAAGTTTGAGGACAGCCTGAACTACAAAGTGAGACCCTCGCCCCCCACACACAAAAGAATCACACTACAGCAATATATGTGCACCCATGTTTACAGTGGTACTGCTTGTAATAGCTAACTCTTAGAAAGAGCCAAAATGCCCATCAGCTGGTGACTAAAGACTTTTATATATAAAATGGAGTACTACTCAGCCATAAAGAATGAGAAACTACATTTATAGCTAAATAAATGCACACTGAGGCCCTACTTTTTTTGGGGGGGTACTGGGGATCGAACTCAAGTCCTTACTGCTTGCAAGGCAGGCGGCAGAACCACTGAGCTAAATCCCAAGGCCATACTCTTAAATGAAATAAATAGGACACACGTGTAAATACTGGTTTCTCTGATGTGAAAAACTGAAACGTAAATGAGTACCAAAATGTATGATAATGTGGAAGACGAAGAAAAGGTCCAAAAGGAAAGAGGAAAAGGAAGTTGAGGGGTAGGAGAAAGGAAAGAAGGGAAAGGAAAAAAATATAAGAAAAGGAAAAAATGGAAACAAAGTCTTTGTAAATAGGGAGGGGTGGAGGGTTTGACCGTAGGGCAGGGGAATGGGAAAAAAACAAGAACCAAGATATATACGGCCAGGGATTTAGCTCAGCAGTTCTGCAGCCTGCCTTGCAAGTGCAAGGACCCCTGGTACCAAAAAAAAAGATATATTAATGTACAGGTACAAATTCCCAATGATGAATGTCACCATATTGTATACCTTAAATGTACCAATAAACTTAATGAATAAAAAAATTTTTAAGAGACTTTGTAGATGTGACTAAAGATCTTCAGATGGAGAGATTACGCTGACCCAAACTAATTCCAAAAGATCACTGTAGGTGAAAAAGGAAGCCATGAGATCAGCCAGAAAGAGACATGAAAGAATAGAAGCAGAAGCCAGGCGTGGTGTCACACACCTGTAATCCCAGCTACTCGGGAGGCTGAGGCATGAGGATTGCTGTGAGTTCGAGACAAGCCTGGCCTACACAGTGAGTTCCAGGTCAGTCTCAACTACATAGTGAGACCCTGTCTCAAAACAAAACAAACAAACAAAAAAACAACAACAGAAGCAGAGCTCAGGAGAGAAGCTATGCTGCTGTATTGTTATTGTTGTTGTTTTGCAAGGGTCTCACTATGTTCAGGCTGGACTTGAATTCAGTATGTAGTCCAGGCTGGTTTTGAACTTGTAGTGATCCTCCTGCCTCAGCCTCCCAAGTGCTAGGATTACAGGTGTGCACCACCAGGCCCAGCTATGCTGCTATGTTTGAAGTTGGAGGAAGGGGCCAATAGCCCAAGAATACAGGTAGCCTCTAGAAACTGGGTAAGATAAAGAAACAGCCCTGCCAATACTTTGGTTTTAGCCCAGTTACATTGATTTTGGATTTCTGACCTCCAGAACTGTTAGATCATAAATACATTTTGTTTGCTGCTATTTTTTACTGCACCAACAGGAAACCAACACACTGGGCTAGGGATAGGTCAATGAATTGCAGTGTCATGATTAATCCAGTACTACTTAGGCCCAATCAATTTTTTTTAAATACATGATTCTCTTAATGGCTCCTCATTGACAAGAAAACAAAGCTTCAATTTTCCAGCATGACCCTATCAGTGGTGGCCAACCTATGGCCTAAGTGCCACAGTGGGCTGTTTGTAGCATTGAAAGCTCTAAAAGGTTCGCCATCATTGCCTTAGATTCTTGACAACATGGTTCTACAAAGCCCATGCCCACCCTTCCAGCTCTCAAGATGCTTACTCCTTGCTGCCAAAACCATCTTCTCTCCCTGGACCTAGACCTATACATTTTAGCCGTGAATTCTGGCCTGGAAGCCCTTTGCTGTTCCTAATAACGAACCCCCATCCCCAATTCCCGGGTACTGGGGATCCAACCCAGGGGCACTCTTACTAGTTATATACTGAGCTCTTTTTATTTAAGACGGAGTCTTGCTAAGTCACTAAATTATGCAGGCTGGCCTAAAACTCGTGATCCTTCTGCCTCAACTTTTGGAGTAGCTGGGATTACAGGTGTCCACCGCTGCACCTGGCTCCCATACACTTTTATGGGGCTCAGCTTCTTTGTCGGGATCTCTGTGTAGTAAGTCTTCCAGGTTAAAATCTCCTCCCCTGCAAATCGACATCTTGGTATACAGTTAATGATGCCTAATACGTCCCACTGCGTTTTTAAAACAAACTCTTAAAGCAGTTAATTGGAAAGGCTAAGCTCAGGCAATAGGCTAAAAAAAAAAAAAAATACCTTTTACTACTTCGCTTCACTAAGCTTCGAAAGCAGATACAAATTCAATAACTTTCTCCTGAAGGTGCTGAGTGGGAAAAAGCACACCGGGAACTGCTGTACGTGTGAGACAAATTCTACAGGGTCGCAGAGCTAGTCTGAATATGGCTTCCCACATTGTCTTCAAGCTAGGCTTCCCCACACGATGGCTGTCCATAAACACACCTTTAAATCTGTGCATGTCTCTGTTCAATTTAGTAAGGGTGGAGGAAGGCAAGTCATTGTAATGAAGGACTGTTTTTCTTTCGCCCGAAATGCGTGAGACAGTAGACAGGGATCTCTGACTCTTGTAAAGCAATCTACAAGCAGGCTACCCAGGTACACCTCTTTGCGGGAAAACGCGCCCCCAAAGATACAAATGGCTTTGGGGGAGCCCAAGTCCGGCCCAGCCCCTCCGGGGCTCCATCAGGCCAGCCTCTCTCCAGTCCATAGCGCGAGGCGGCGGTTGAGGACCGAAGGCCCGCCGTTCTCATGAACACAGGATAGCCTGTTAGACCTGCTGGCTCGGACACCACGCGGAGATTGAGCGGTGCCGAAGCGCAGTTGAAGAAACCGCTCTCTGCCTGGACGGAGGCGGAGCAGAAACTCACGCTAGGCCAACAGACGCGCCTTAGGATGCCTGGAGCAACCCTAGGACGGCCCCCCCAACGCGAGGCACTCTGGGATTTGTAGTTTACTCTCCAGACATCGCCTTTCCCACTCGGACGGCCAGCTTGTTAACATTGCAGTTACTCCTCCCGGCAGGCCGACTTCCTGGTCGCCACACGTTCTCACATATGACTACACTACCCAGAAGTCTTTCCTTCGTGTCGCGGCACGGAGTCTCCTTCAGACTACAGTTCCCAGAGGTCCACTGGAGAAGTGCTTCCGTCGCTGTTTCTCAGGACCAGAATTCCCAGAGACTCCACGGTGTGTCTCTTTTAGCTCGATCTCTTCTGGAGCCGGCTGCAGCGCAGCCTGCCAGGAGGCCCACGGAGACGACACGGTCCGTCGTGACAGGGCACAAGGTTTCCTCTGCGGCTTGGCTTTCTGTGTCCTCGGATCTCCACGGGCAGGCCGTTGCGGCTGGCCTGAGCGGTGACCTGGCGGGCCGCGCCTGCGCCGTGCCCTGTTTCCTGCTTGGCTGGTGGCGGCGGCCATTTTGTTCATCCTCCTCCTCCTCCTGCTCCTCCTGGTTGGAGCGCAGTGTCCAGAGCGGGCTGGGGGGAGAGAGCCCAAGAGCGGGGTTCGGTACCTTTTCCTCTGTCCCCAGCCGG